CTGCTAAAGACTATAGGGACTTTTGAAACTGGACTGAATGCATTCTGCATTATGAAATGCTACAAGCTTCTTGGAATAAGGAGAAGTTATGACTTACAAGTGTTAAGTTTGAGTATCAACTAGACAAGGAGTGAACATATGACAGTTAATAAATATTGTCAACTTTATAAGATTGAAGATAAGCAAACAGATAAACCTCTGGGCATGTCTGTGAGGGATTATCTAGGTTAGGTTATTGAGGTCGGAAGACCCACCCTAAATGTGAACAGCATGACTCATGAGCTGGAGTCCTGGGCTGTTTCTCTCTGTTCCTGACTGTGGATGCAATGTAATCAGCAGCTCCAGGCTCCTACTGTCATGCCTTCCCTGCAGTGATGGACTTCCTGTACATCAAAAATAAACTCTCATTTTTTTTCCCCCTTCTCTTTGAGATAGGGTTTCTCTACACAGACCTGGAACTTACTATGTAGACCAGGCTGGCCTCAAATGCACAGATATACTTGCCTCTGCCTCCTGAAACTCTTACTTTTTAAAGTTACTTCTGTCATAGCAACAAATAACTAATGCCTACAGAAGAATCATCTTGCTTTTAAACACAAATTTAGCAATCCTAGGAAGCTCAATGATACACTGATGAAAATATGAAGAGGTATGCCCAAGAGTATTCATTACAACACTCTGCGTGACATCAGAAAGACTAGGCTAACTCAAGCACCAGCAATAAGAAACTAGTTTAATATAATACTGTCATATGAAGACTGTTTAGCTGAGAAAAGAAATGAGAATGAAATGAAAAGAAAAGCATCTCTATGTAGCTATACATAACTACAGAATGAACTCTAGGCCCCCTTATCTGTGATTTTACTGCTGCAATTTCAGTTATAATCTGTCAACTTTAGTGTAAAAAACACTTTTAAGAAAGACTACATCAGCCGGGTGATGGTGGCACACGCCTTTAATCCCAGCACTTGGGAGGCAGAGGCAGGCGATTTCTATGAGTTCAAGGCCAGCCTGGGCTACAACACAAGTTCCATGACAACCAGGACTGTTACACAGTGCTGTGGGATGCAGAAACATGAAGTAGGAATTCAGCTGACTATGACAAAGCTATACCTGGAAGAAGCCAAGGGTCCTTCCAGAGGATAAAGCCAAAACTTAAGGAGTCTTAGCAATACTGGCTTTTGAATATTAGCCATTTCCTGCTATGAATTTCTCATGTGCTATTGTAGCTTTTCCATTCCTAGAATGGTATGTTTGATCATTCATTGGGCACAATTTCCCCTATACAATTAGAGTATTTGGATAACATTTCCCAACTGTGCTAACAGCAGTCACACATCCAGACTCCTAACTTCAGGCTTTTTTGTAATCATCATCATTAGCAACACCCAGTCAGGACCTTCTCTGGACAAAAGTATCTTATCTGAGATACTCCCCAGACTTTCTAAGAACAGACTGCAGATAGATAGCATCCAGACTATCTGTTAGAGAAGGCCAGGTGGGTGTGCTAATTAAGCTTAACCTTCTTCTTCCAAGTGCTATCTCTAACAATTAACTCAGAACTAAAGGGCTTTTACATACCAGGTACATCAAGCTGTGACACAGGTTGCCTAGTTACCTAGCTACACTTCCCCTACCCTGCAGAGTTAAGCTGAGAAAGATATGGCTCCAAAGGAATAAAAGGCAGTTTTATTTTCACTCAATGACTTATAGAATCCTAACATTTTACCTAACCACTTCTAATCATATAGTTTGAGGACATATATCCCCCTTTTTAGATCTATTAACTGAATTTAGCCTTTGGATGATTCATTCCCCATTAGCCACTTCCCTTTTGGGTTGTTATGATAGCTGACAATTACTGCTCTTTGTGTAGATCTTATCGTTCCTCCTTTTGACTCTGAGGAATTCAAGCCTGGTGACCTTGCCTTAGCCAGAGCATGGGTATATAACTGTAAACCTCAGCGACTAGAGAATACTACTCTGAGGAATGACAAGAACAAGATGGAAGATGAGGAAGAGCTAGATGGGGAAGAACAAGATGGGAAAGAACGAGATGGAAAAGAACTAGATTAAGATAGAACTGGATGGGAGAATTAAGACAGAACTTAAAGAGAACCAGAAAAGTGTAGCGAGAAATCAGGCAAGAAAGGACTAAGTATGAGAGCAGAAAAGAAGCTGTGTGGAGAGAGAACTGACTCAGAAGAATGAAGCAAATGGACTAAAGTTTCATGTTTATAGATTTATTTGATATCGTCAAAGATTAGATCCCTCAGCTGGTTGCAGATTCTTCCACGGACCCTGGGAAAAGACTATTGAGGGGCTGGACCTCAACAGTCTTTGTTAACAGAGAAACCCTGTCACGGCGGCGGGGGCAAAGGCAGGGGGCAGGGGAGGGAAAAACCTTTAACACCTGCATTTGTAAGGCAGAGGCAGAGAGCCAGGCAGATCTCTGTGAGTTCAAAGCCAGCCTGCTCTACATAATGAGTTCCAGGCTAACCAATCTATATAGAGAGACTCTGCCTCAAAAAAAAAAAAAAAAAAGACTACATCTGTATAACTTTGTTACAGTACAGTGTGATGTTTTTGTTGTTAAATTTCACTGCAGGTATTTATGTGTAGTGGTTTGAATAAGAAATGTTCCTTAAAGTCTCAGGTATTTGAATACTTAGTCCTGTCAGTGGCACTGTTTGGCAAGGCTCAAGGCTCAGAAGGTGTGGCCTTGATGGAGGAAATATGCCACTGGGGCTTAGAACTTAAGACCTCACCTACTCCCAGTGTGCTCTTTCTTAGAACTTAAGACCTCACCTACTCCCAGTGTGCTCTTTCTTAGAACTTAAGACCTCACCTACTCCCAGTGTGCTCTTTCTTAGAACTTAAGACCTCACCTACTCCCAGTGTGCTCTTTCACCACTTGCAGTTTGTGGTTCAAGATGTGAGCTCGCAGCATCCAGCTCCTGTCATCATGCCTGCTACTTGCTGCCCTGCTTCCCCACCACAATGGACTCTTACCCTCTGGAACCGTAAGCCAAGTAAGCCCTTCCTTCTAGGTTGCCTTGAACATGGTGTTTTATCACATAAATAGAAAAGTAATACATCATGTATACAAAAACTATAGTATAAGTTAGGTATGGTGGCACATGCCTTTAATCTCAACATTCGGGAGGCAGAGGCAAGTGAATCTCTATGAGTTCCAGGACAGACTGGTCTACAGAGTGAGTTCCAGGGATACCCAGAGAAAACCTGTCTGAAAAAGAACAAATAAGTTATCTATTAACAAGAGCCAGGAATATTCAAAATTCAGGTAGGCAATTAAAATATACCAAACAAAAAGTTTCAGTAGACTTTGTGAGTTTGAGGCCAGCCTGGTCTACAAAGCGAGTTCCAGGACAAGCTCCAAAGCTACACAGAGAAACCCTGTCTCAAAAAAACAAAATGAAACAAAACAAAGTTTCAGCAGCTAAGAAGTTGCTGTGGGATGGTCTGTATGTCAAATGTGTTGCTGATTGGTCAATAAATAAATCACTGATTGGCCAGTGGCCAGGCAGGAAGTATAGGCGGGACAAGGAGGAGAATAAAGCTGGGAAGTGGAAGGCTGAGTCAGAGAGACACTGCCAGCCGCCACGATGACAAACAGCATGTGAAGATGCCGGTAAGCCACGAGCCATGTGGCAAGGTATAGATTAATGGAAATGGATTAATTTAAGCTGTAAGAACAGTTAGCAAGAAGCCTGCCACGGCCATACAGTTAGTAACCAATATAAGTCTCTGTGTTTACTTGGTTGGGTCTGAGCGGCTGTGGGACTGGCAGGTGGTAGAGATTTGTCCTGACTGTGGGCCAGGCAGGAAAACTTAAGCTACACACACACACCACCACCAGACAGGGTTTCTCTGTGTAGCCTGAGCTGTCCTTGAACTCACAGAGATCCACCCGCCTTTGCCTTCCCAGTACCGGGAATAAAGGCATGCGCCACCACTGCCCAGCGCTAACAGTTTTTTATTTTATTTTATTTTATTTTATTTTATTTTATTTTATTTTATTTTATGTGTATGAGTGTTTACCTGCATGAATATCTTGTAATACATATATGCAGTGTCCAAAGACCAGAAGAGATTTTCAGGTCTTTTTTTGTTTTTTGTTTTTTGAGACAGGGTTTCTCTGTGTAGTTTTGGTGCCTGTCCTGGAACTCACTCTGTAGACCAGGCTGGCCTTGAACTCACAGAGATCCGTCTGCCTTTGCCTCCCGAGTGCTGGGATTAAAGGCGTGCGCCACCACCGCCCGCAGTTTTTTAACCTTTATTTATTTATTTTTTTAAAGTTAAGAGTTTCAGTGTGTTATGGTTTGAATCTTAAACATTACCTCAAGGTTCATGTACTAAGTGTGGTTGCTAGCTTAGGGCACTACTGGAAAGTACAGAACTTGGAAGGGGTAGGGTCTAGTGGAAGAAGTGTGGCTGGAGTAGCAGGACTGCCCTTGAAGGGATACTGGGTACCAGTTCCTTCTCTCTTGCTAGGATAAGCTGCTTTGCTCTTCTGTATAGTTCCCACCAAGGCATACTGTGCACAGGCCCCAACCAATGGCAATCCAGTATGAATGGAAAATGTCTTTTTTTCATGTATTTGTCACGGTTATAAAATTTGAACATATGGATACAATCAAGTGAGTAAGAGGCAATTATCTGTAGTCATTCTACCCACTATAAAAGAATGAGCACAATCACCACTTAAAACATTGCTGACTCTAAAACTGCCAACTCGAGGGGGTGGAGGAATGATGGCTCAGAGGTTAAGAACACTGGCTGCTCTTCCAGAGGTCCTGAATCCAATTCCCAGCAATCACATGGTGGCTCTGGAAAGACCAGCCATATTGGATACAGAAATACAGTAATTTTATGCACATGAAGAATCAGGGAAAAAATACCAAGGTTGAATATAGTGACACAGAAAGTACACCAGGAAAGTGTTATCTGCAGAACCTTTAGGATGAAACTGGATTTACCTCTGATAAAGCTGAAGAAAAGTGATTGCAGTTTTTGTGCATCAAATGGTAGGCATTGCCTTTATACTCTTTCCCCAGCTCTTCTACAATTTTTTCTATATCGTCTTCTAGAAAGTCCGTACTCCCTAAAACAACAGCTTCTCTTAAAGAACAAAAAACAAGATAAAGCAGTTTCGATCAAGTTATTTATAATAAGCATTATTAAATACTTGCTTATTTCCAAGTATATTGCAATAAATAAACCAAAGCTAACATATTCAGACTAAAGGTGAATGAGATATTTAGTAATTTCAATGACTTTAATTTCTATTTTGCTTTATGAAACATTTATTATTAGAGAATCAGATTCAAGCTAAAAAACACTCCTGTTATACACTCATAGCAAAGAGTTGGCCATATTTTCATTAAGGAAAAAACTTGGTATTAACCACTCTTGTGTTGCATTGAGACAAGCCATGAAACCTGGCTAAATTTTAAAATTATTATTATTCAAAACATCAAATAAAAACACTTAAATATATATCCTGGAAATGTAACAGATATTACTCAATGAAAGGCAGAATTTTAGATATAAGCTAGTTGTAAAAGACAGCTAATAATTATTAGAAAATCATTTTATCAGGCACAAATGGAGACTTAGGGGCATCAGTGTTGGGTTATAAGAGCTATGCACTCAGAAGTAAGGAATAAAAAAACTAACAAAGGTATGTCCACAGATACCTGCTTGGTTTAGGTTTAAACATCTGCACTGATGTTATCAACAACAGTTTCCAGGTTAATCAGTTTAGTTATTTTGAATTTACAAGTGTTTCTTACATTGGGAAAATGAAGAGATTTTTATAGTAGGTTATAATAAAAAAAATTCCACCCTGTCCACTTTCTCTCTGTAATAGGGAGACTAGGCAGGAGATCATTAGGTGAGTTTCCTGAGGCAGAATGTAAGATAAACAAAGACAACTATATTTGAGAAGCAGACAGAAAACAACTTAGAGAGAGCCTGAACAAAAAGCAAAGACAGGTTATTTCACACATTATTTGATTTTCCATCCTTACATAACAACTTAATTCAATTTAATTTAAATATAAAGTGTTAGCCTCTAAGCCAAAATTTCCAACTATTTTAACTTTTTAATCTACAGGATAAATTCTTTATACCTGAAAAACAAGCTCTGACACCTACAATAGTGTAATAGAAATTCCCCTCCCTACTTACTTAAATTTAAATGTTTCTCCTAATTCAGAAGCATTTCCTGGGGAAATTTCAAATATTCCAGAAAAAGGATAAGGATGGCCACCATAAGCAAATTCTGAAAAGATAAAAGTCAAAATTTTTAGTATATATTGCATGAAATGTAATCAGAATGCTAAATCAGCTTTAAGATACCACAAAGATAGCCGGGCGGTGGTGGCGCACGCCTTTAATCCCAGCACTCGGGAGGCAGAGCCAGGTGGATCTCTGTGAGTTTGAGGCCAGCCTGGTCTCCAAAGCGAGTTCCAGGAAAGGCGCAAAGCTACACAGAGAAACCATGTCTCGAAAAAAAAAAAAAAAAAAAACAAAACAAAACAAAGATACCACAAAGATAATGCCATTTGAGTATTTTTCAGCTTATAAAGTGCCCTTTGCAAGGTCCTGTTTGGCTATTACCAGTAGAGAATACCTGTCTATAAAAGCTCTGAAATGTAACAGTCACAGACATTCCAAAATGCTTGTGACTGCTCTGTACACTGCTCTGCACCTACTCCAGCAGAATGAGCAGTATTCAAAAGTGATCGGTCTTTGGCACCACCACACCATGAGGCCAGCAGCTCAGAACTTGGCCACTTTTCAAGCTTGCACGTCCCTGGAGAAACTGTCCAATGAGTGAGTTTTCACGGTTGTTTCTTGAGATGAGCTGTCTTGTTTGGTGTGCTTTGCCATGTGCTGCGTGGATCTACTCCCTGCCTGGAATACTCCTGATTTACACTGGATCAGGAGTGAAAACACCATGACACCATGCATGGGGGTATACGTCTGTAATCTTTGCACAGGATGCAGGTGGATCATGAGTTCCAGGCAGGTCTGAACTATATATAAATAGAAACCCTGTCTGAAACAAATATCAAACCTGAAACACAGTAAAATGCCAACATTAAATACACAGCCACCCTCATTTTCCTCACAGCAAGTCTTGTAGCCAGGAGGCACTGTAGGTATGTTCTCCTACACATGTATTTCCAGCTATATGCTCTCACCTACAACAAAATGCAGATAACTTCAGTCAGGGAGAACCAGAACTTCTGGCTTCAATTCTGGCATTTCATTTAGATATTAGGTGGTGAAGTCTTAGTAGATATAAGCAATTTCAAATAAATGCTTAAGTAAGTTAGACTTATCACTTAAGATTTACTAAATAACTGGGCATGGTGGTACATGCCTATAATCTCAGTGCTAGAGAGGTAGAGGCAGGAGAATCACTCTAAGTTTGAGGACAGCTTGGTCTACAATGTGAGTTCCAGATCAGCCAGGGCTATGTAGCAAGACTGTCTCAAGATGCTTAAATAAATGAACATATTTGTTAAATAGACAGTCTTAAGTTTTGAGACAAAGCACAGGAAAGAACAAGGCAGATGACGTTTAGTTTTTCTCATTTAAATTTTATTTGCATGTATGTGTATCTAGGTGTATATGCTACCACGTACTTGCCCAGAGGCCAGAAGAAGACAATGGATACTCTGGAGCTCGATTCACAGTTATTAACTCTAGGCTGTTACATTCATACCAAACAGAGTTGAAATCTTGAGGAAGTACTTTTAACCACTGAGCTCCAAAGTTATCTTTTCATTCAAGACTGCAGAAATTTTTAAAAAATGATGTGGATGAGGGTGCTTAACACTTAATTTTGAAATACATTAACTACTTTTTTTTTTTTTTTTTTTTTTTTTTTAAGGATTTGGTTACTTACCCTAAACTGACCTGATAAACTATGCAGCCCAGGCTAGCTCTGAACTCTTAATTCCCCAGTCTCTGCTTCCTAATTGCTGAGATTATGGGTGTCCACCTCTATGCCTGTCTTAAATTTTGTTTGTTTATCTGGTCTTGAGGTAGGGTCTCATTCTAGCCTCAAACCCACAACCCTCTTACTTTAGCTTCCGAAGCACTGGGATACAGCCATATACTACCATGCCCTGCTCCTCTTTAGGATTCAGTAAATCATTCTATATCATTTTTATTAAAATATTGTATATACTGAGATTGGATTTGGTAAAAATCATTGTGTTTTTGTTTTTGTTTTTTTGAGACAGAGTTTCTCTGTGTAGCCGTGGCTGTCCTGGAACTTGCTCTGTAGACCAGGCTGGCCTTGAACTCAGAGATCCACCTGCCTCTGCTTCCCAAGTGCTGGGACTAAAGGCGTGTGCTGCCATCACCACCTGGCTTCATACTTGGGATTTTTTTTTTTTTTTTTTTTTCAAGACAGGATTTCTCTGTAGCTTTGGAGCCTGCCCTGGAACTCACTCTGTGACCAGGCTGGCCTTCAACTCACAGAGAGATCCACCTGCCCCTACCTCCTAAGTGCTGGGATTAAAGGTATGTGACACCACCACCCAGCTCATACTTGGGTTTTTAAAAAATTATTTATTTATATGTTATGTATGAGTGCTCTGCATGTATGCCTGCAGGCCAGAAGAGGGCATCAGATCCTATTATAGATGGTTGTGAGCCACCACGTGGGTGCTGGGAATTGAACTCAGGACTTCTGGAGCAGCCAGTGCTCTTAACCGCTGAGCCACCTCTTCAGCCCCACATGGATTTTAACCTTCTTAAGTATAGTAAGGGAAGACACGGGTCCTTTTAGTTTTTATTTTTTGTACAAGAAACATTTAATTACAATTTCTCTGAGTTTCCATGAACATGTTTTGAATCATCTTTTTGTTTTTAAATTATTTTATGAAGGAGAGTAAAAAGTGTGCAGGTAATAGAGCACTGGACTAGCATATAAGAGTATCTGGGCTCAAAAAAATTAAAAGTAAAAAAAAAAGAATATTTGGGCTCAAATTCTAGTTCTGTTAGTTATTAGCAGTATGAATGGTGACAGGTTAGAGCCTTAATTTCTTTTTATTAATAAAAATGCCACATTCTCTTACCTTACAGCATGATCATATGGTTCCAAAGTTCACAGCACTATGGAAACCATAACACACTATTCAAATTTAACCAAAAAGGAGTAATACAACTTAGGCAAAAGGCCAGAGAGGAAACCCACAGCCTATAATCCCACCTACTGCAATACTTTAATCACTGACAATTTCAGCTGAAGCCCCTCCTTGTTTCTTGAGGTTAGCAAGTGTACTCATTTCAAGTGAAAGTAAAGCTTAAATGACAAATCTTTACAGCCAAGACTGAATATGCTAAACTGCAGCTAGAAGCTACTATGACAGAAAAATAGATAGGGGCTAGGGACATATCCCAGCACCTGCTTAGCAAGTCAGAGGCCTTGGGTTCAATTATCAGCACCTCTCCACCCAAACACAAAGACAGCAGAAACATCATATGGAAATATTTAAGTAAGTGGAGTTTTTCTTTTAAATTAATGAATAAGTAGGTAGGGAATTAGAATATTCTAGGAAGTTATAAAGACTGCCTAGCTTTCGCAAATATAGGAACTTCTGCTAAAAGGCAAGCTTCTAATTCATGCTAGATGTTACTAAAGGCAAGACTGCTTAGCATAGACTTTATTGATACTAACAAGCCTGCAAATCCAATGTTCTACTAAAACTCCCTAAGGAAACTGGTATTTCAAATTTGACACTAGCCAAATGATTACTTTGTTATGCAGTTTTTCAAAGTGTAAAAGTTTCTCAGAAACTCTTATACATATTAGAGAAAAACAATCATGGTTTAACAGCTTCGGAAAGAAGGACTTTGGTTTTTGAGACAGGGTCTCACTTGTAGTTCTGGCTGTCCCAGAACTCACTCTATAAACCAGGTTGGCCTTGAACTCACAGAAATCTGCCTGCCTCTGTCTCTTGAGTACTGGGATAAAAGGTACTGGCCACCAAACCTGGCTAAGAAAATGTTTAGAAGACACAGTAATTAGGAAAAAAAAAAAAAAGATAATGAAATGAATGTACCCTCTTGTATTCTACTACAGACATATTTTTTCTAAGCACAGTATAAAACAAATGTGCAAGTTTTATTCTACTTTCTGCAATAACATATGTAAGTCACTTAAAAGAAAAGAAACAAAGAAAAACCCCCAACATTATAAATCTGCATTTTAACTGGCAGAATCCTCAGAAAGCACATTTAAAAAGTGTACACACATACCTCTGCCATACACTTCAATTCCAGAATGAAAAACTCCAATTCCAATAGATGAGGTGTATTCATTCATCCAGTACTAAGGAGAGAAAAAAAACAACCTCTAAATATCCATTCATTTATAGTCCAACTCTACAGGACAGGTAGAGTATAAACCCAATTCTTCTTATTTTCCCTTACAAGGCTGAAACTCTACTGAGAGAAACCTAGTCTGCTCTCCCACATTTAACCTGGAAGGCTTTCCTGTGTCTAGACAAATGTGTCAACTTAAGTCCAGCACATTTATTTAAGATTTAGCACATAATAAATAAAATTTAAATGAAGTGAAATCTAAATTTGGATCAGGTTGGTAGCAAAAATTGACATAAAAGTGCCATTAGTGATTAAAATAGCACACACAGAGTGAGTCATGGTGACACATGCCTTTCATCCCAGCACTTGAGAGGCAGAGGCAGGTGGGTCTCTATGAGCTCAAGACTAGCCTGGTCTTTAGAGTGGGTTCCAGATTAGCCAGAGCTACACAGTGAAACCCTATCCCAAAAAACCAAAACCAAACAACCAAACAAAAAGCACCACATATAGACATGCGTATCTAGTTTCCTAACTATTTTTCTTCTACCCTAAACTTTTTCTTTTATACTCTAGAGAGTTCTTTGAAAGTGGGAAGACTCTATTCTTTGTCAACATGTATGGCTTGTTTCCTATCCCAATTCAGCCTAAAGTTTGAAACTAGGAATAGGCAGTATGAACACAATAGAGAAAATAGATTCGTCAGAAAAAGAAAACACTAAAGCCAAAAAAGTTGTCACACAAAACGTCCAAGAAATTTGGGACATCATGAAAAGAAGGAGAAGAATACCAACTCAAAGGTACAGAAAATATATTCAACAAAATCATAGACGAAAACTTTCCTAACCTAAAGAAAGAAATACCTATGAAGATACAAGAACCTTACAGAACACCGAATAGACTGGATCCAAAAAATAGAGTCCCCTCGCCACATAATAATCAAAACACTAAACATACAGAACAAAGAAAAAATATTAAGAGCCGCAAAGGAAAAAGACAAGTAACATATTAAAGGCAGACCCATCATAATAACACCAGACTTCTCAATAGAGACTATGAAAGCTAGAAGGTTCTGGACAAATGTTATGCAGACACTAAGAGACCACGGATGCCAACCCAGACTATTATACCCAGCAAAACTCTCAATCACCATAGACGTAGTAAACAAAATATTCCATGATAAAACCAGATTTAAACAATACCTATCCACAAATCCAGCCCTAGAAAAAACTAGAAGGAAAAATCCAACCTAAGGAAGTTAAACACATCCATGAAAACTCAGGCAATAGATAATCCCACACCAACAAATACCAAAGAAGGGAATACAACACTACCACAAAATAAATAAATAAATAAATAAATAAATAAATAAATAAATAAATAAATAAATAAATAAATAACAGGAATTAACAATCACTGGTCATTAATATCCATCAATATCAATGGTCTCAACTCACCTATAAAAAGACACAGGCTAACAGAATGGATAAGAAAACAGGATCCATCCTCCTGCTGCATACAAGAAACACACCTAAACGTCAAAGACAGAGTAAAGAGCTGGGAAAAGGCTTTCCAATCAAATGGATTTAAGAAGCAAGCTGGTGTAGCTATCCTAATAACTAAATAAAATAGACTTTAAACTAAAATCAATCGAAAGAGATAGGGATGGACATTACATATTTATCACAGGAAAAATTCAACAAGATGAAGTCTCGATTCTGAACATTTATGCCCCAAATACAAAGGCCCACATTTATAAAAGAAACACTACTAAAGCTTAAATTGCATATCAAACCCCACACACTAGTAGTGGGAGATTTCAACACACCACTCTTACCAAAAGACAGATCTACCAGACTGAAACTTAACAAAGAAATAAAGGACCTAACAGATGTTATGACTCAAAGGGACTTAATAGATAGCTACAGAACATTCCACCCTAACACAAAAGAATATACCTTCTTCTCAGCACCCCATGGAACCTTCTCGAAAACTGACCACATGCTTGGTTACAAAGCAAATCTTAACAGATACAAAAACATTGGAATAACCTCCTGTATTTTATCGGACCACCATGCCTTAAAGTTAGATCTCAACAACAAAAACTATAGAAAGCCTACAATCTCATGGAGACTGAATAATGCTCACCTGAAGCACCAATGGGTCAAGGAAGAAAAAAAAAAGAAAAGAAAAGAAATTAAAGATTTCCTAGAATTCAATGAAAATGAAAGTACAACATACCCAAACTTATGGGACACCATGAAAGCAGTGCTAAGAGGAAAGTTCATAGCACTAAATGCACACATAAAGAAGATGGAGAAATCTTATACCAATGACTTAACAGCACAACTGAAAGTTCTAGAACAAAAAGAAACAAACTCACCCAGGAGGAATAGACGCCAGGAAATAATCAAATTGAGGGCTGAAATCAATGAAATAGAAACCAAGAAAACAATACAAAGAATCAATGAAACAAAGAGTTGGTTCTTTGAAAAAAAAAAATCAACAAGATAGACAAACCACTAGCCAAATTAACCAAAAGGCAAAGAGAGAGCACCCAGATTAACAAAATCAGAAATGAATAGGGAGACATAACAACAGACAATGAGAAAATCATCAGGTCTTATTTCAAAAACCTGACTCCACAAAATTGGAAAATATGGAAGAAATGGACAGTTTTCTGGATAGATACCACATACCAAAGTTAAATCAAGACCAGACAAACTATTTAAATAGACCAATAACCCTTAAAGAAATAGAAACAGTCATTAAAAGTCTCCCAGCCAAAAAAAGCCCAGGAACAACAGATGGTTTCAGTGCAGAATTCTACCAGATTTTCAAAGAAGAACTAATTCCAATACTCTTCAAATTGTTCCACACAATAGAAACAGAAGGAACATTACCAAATTCTTTATGAGGCTACAATTACCCTGATATCCAAACCACACAAAGATGCAACAAAGAACGAGAATTGCAGACCAATCTCCCTCATGAACATTGATGCAAAAATTCTCAACAAAATATTGGCAAACCAAATGCAAGAACACATCAAAAAAATTACTCACCATGATCAAGTAGCATCCCAGGGATGCAAGGATGGTTCAACATACGAAAATCTGACAATGTAATACACCATATAAACAAACTGAAAGAAAAAAAAAAACCACATGATCATCTCATTAGATGCTGAAAAAGCCTTTGACAAAATCCAACACCCCTTCATGATAAAGGTCTTAGAGATCAGGAATACAAGGAACATTCCTAAACATAATAAAGGCAATTTATAGCAAGCCAACAGCCACCATCAAATTAAACGAATAGAAACTCAAAGCGATTTCACTATAATCAGGAACAAGACAAGGCTGTCCACTCTCTCCATATTTATTCAATATAGTACTTGAAGTTCTAGCTAGAGCAATAAGACAACAAAAGGAGATCAAGGAGATACAAATTGGAAAGGAAGAAGCCAAACTTTCACTATTTGCAGATGATATGATAGTATACATAAGTGACCCCAAAAATTCTACCAGGGAACTTCTACAGCTGATAAACTCCTTCAGTAAAGTGGCAGGACACAAGATCAACTCAAAAAAATCAGTAGCCCCCCTATACACAAATGATAAAAGGGATGAGAAAGAAATCAAAGAAACATCACCCTTTACAATAGCCACAAATAATATAAAACACCTTGGGATAACACTAACTAAACAAGTGAAGGACCTGTTTGATAAGAACTTTAAGTCTCTAAAGAAAGAAATTGAAGAAGATATCAGACAATGGAAGGATCTCTCATGCTCATGGATAGGTAGGATTAACATAGTAAAAATGGCAATCTTACCAAAAGCAATCTACAGATTCAATGCAATCCCCATCAAAATTCCAACACAATTCTTCACAGACTTGGAAAGAACAATACTCAACTTCATATGGAAAAACAAAAAACCCAGGATAGCTAAAAGAATCCTGTATAATAAAGCAACCTCTGGAGGCATCACCATACCTGACCTCAAGCTCTACTATAGAGCTATAGTAATAAAAACAGCTTGGTACTGGCATAAAAACCGACATACAGACCAATGGAATCGAATTGAAGACCCTGACTTCAATCCCTGAATTAATCCATACACATATGAACACCTGATTTTTGATAAAGAAGCCAAAACTATACAATGGAAAAAAGAAAGCATCTTCAACAAATGGTGCTGGCATAACTGGATGTCAACATGTAAAAGATTACAAATACATCCATATCTGTCACCATGCACAAAACTCAAGTCCAAGTGGATCAAAGACCTCAACATAAATCCAGTTACACTGAACTTGATAGAAGAGAAAGTAGGAAGGCGCCCAGAATGCATTGGCACAGGAGATCACTTCCTAAATATAACACCAGTAGCACTGACACTGAGAAGAACAATTAATAAACGGGACCTCTTGAAACTGAGAAGCTTTTGTAGGGCAAAAGACACGGTCAATAAGACAAAAAGATAGCCTACAGAATGGGAAAAGACCTTCACCAACACCACATCTGACAGAGGGCTGATATCCAGAAATTCGATATCAAAATATTGAACAATCCAATTAAAAAATGGGCTAAAGAGCTAAACAGAGAATTTATAAAAGAAGAATCTCTAATGGCTGAAAGACATTTAAGGAAATGCTCAACATCCTTAGTCATCAGGGAAATACAAATCAAAATGACTCTGAGATACTACCTTACATCTGTCAGAATGGCTATGACCCAAAACACTAATGACAGTCTATGTTGGAGAGGATGTGGAGCAAAGGGAACACTCCTCCACTGTTGGTGGGAATGCAAACTTGTACAACCACTGTGGAAATCAGTATGGTGGTTTCGTAGAAAATTGGGAATCGATCTACCTCAAGACACAGCCCTACCACTCCTGGGCATATACCCAAGGAATGCTCAATCATACCACAATGATACATGCTCAACTATGTTCACAGCAGCATTATTCGTAATAGCCAGAACCTGGAAACAACCTAGAT